TATCACCACGGTAGACAAGGAAAGTGCGAACAGAATGAGATTAGACTAAGAAATATTGTAAGTTGCGAGCTCTCTCCAGTTTATCAGTCACTTCAGGTTATTCCCACTTTTGCTCTAAGCGTTAATGACCTTTGGTAAGTGTTTTTGGCCAGTGCCTGAGCTACGGCCCCTCCCTTATGACGTACAATAGCACTCGCTCTTACTATTTCATAATGACGTGCTTCAAACTCACGCGTGCCTAAGCACTAACTTACCCGACATTTTGGTAAAGTGTAATATTTCAACTCTTCATTAACTAATACGTGACACAGAGGTAACAGGGTACCATAAAGTGTTATATTCATACGCGCAAATGATACATGGGTTTGTGATATAAGTTGACGATGGATATGTATTTGTGGTAGTTCGTAAACTTAGGAAACAGGTATAGTTCATAAAAATATATCGCTAGCTTGTGTTACCTATAACAAAAGATAACCTGGATATGCTTCTTAATACACCACGATGTGGAGGTTGTTGATATCTGTTCGACCATTCGTCTTAATAATAATGTTGACAGATTGGCATCTGAGATCCAAAGAACCCGTCCAAATCTCGGAAACCGCACTGCACTGTTCTTAAAGATAGAGGTCAATTTAATTTCCGATGCAGATTACAACTCTCATAGCAATGACCTGAGGCCGAGGTATAAATCGTTCATAAATTTTCCATTCCTGTCCTCCAAAATGCAAGGAATTGTGAATTTATCGTAGTAGATACACGTTACAGGGGATCTAACACTAAGTATTTCAGTACTAGAATAAAATACAAGAGTTATTCGAACAACTAAATGACGCTAGTTTTTAAACAATTCGTTGATTATCTCTTAGAGACGTCATAGTACTATTAAGAATTCATAGTACTAAATTCAAATAAAACAGACGCCCATTAAAAGTCTATTGTTGACGCGGATTTCAACGCGACTTCCATTGTAGTTATTATCATTTGTGACGGCTTACTAGACGCTGGCTGTAGCGATGATAACCGCTCTTCAACCGCTCTCCAGAATCTCTTCCCGGAATTTTAACGATAAATAGCTGAAAAATGAAAAAAAAATGTTTTAACAAATGCGAGGTTAGCAACGTTTGACAACTAGACATTTTCGTTCCCGCGTTAAAGAAAACTTATGTGCGTCTGTAAACGTACTGCAGATTTAAAATTTTGTATTGCTAAGAACACGGTAGCCCATTCCCCCGACTCTACTCATACCACTACTAGCAAAATGTGAGCTCAACAAAACGTGTGAATAGTGAAGCTACAGATACGTCCAGAAAGAAAACAAAGGGTCCTTCTCAACATTTGGTCAATGGATCAAACAAGAACCTGATCGAGATGGGTGTCGATGATCCGGAAGCTGAAGTACATTACTTGTTATGGTTATATTAAGTTATTTATATAATTAAACAACACGAATAAACTAATGCATGATATATCATTGCTAAAATAAATATTTTTATGGTCTGTGTAGTGTCCCATTGTATAGAAAGGAGTTATGGGATTGAAACAAGATGGCTTACTGAATTGGAAATATGGGATTCGAGCTCCACAAGGTACGGGTGTTTGCACAGTATGATGGTGGCATGGCTGGCTTCTCGTACAAGAGTGTATCACAGCTGAAATACGTAATTACGAATCTCTCATCACAATTTGCCCCTCTTTGTCAACTTTGTCATTGGTAATCTAATGGAAGACAATAGCACACAATCTCTGTGTTTATATATCCAGGAAAGAGGAACTAATGTGCCTACCCCTCTCCTACACTCATAGATAGTAAAGAAATTATCATCATTCGTACTCGGTCATGAGTTGGACCCTAGGTACATAATGACAGTCGAGTTTTCTGACTCTCTCCTGCTGTTACATGAATAAATTCAATATGAATGAATTTGATGAATGTAATTCTTCGTGAATGAAGTAATATTCTTCATGAATTAATTCTATAACTATTAAATCTAAAAACTACCTGAAATATCTGCATCTAACACTGCGCATAAACACTGTGAACAATTACTGATCTATTATGATATGACAAAGCACCTCCTTACAATAATGGCATGTAGTAGATGAAAACAATCATAACCATTTTATTAACTTGAGTGAAAGAACTTGTATATTTTTTATTTAATAGAATATCAACATTTGCTGTAATGTTCATTCTGGCTTGATTACATTTTATTGTCTTTAAATGTAGATGAAACATCACAAAGTAATTTACTTAATAGTAGTTTAAAATTATTCATCAATTAAGCAAACTAAAAAAGTTATAATAATGAAGTTGCACAGTGTGCTTCAGTAACTAAAAAATTATAATATGCAAAGGCCTTCTACATGTAAACCAGTGGGAGCACAAAGAATATCTGGTCTACATTAAATTTATGTGTTCGTTGTAATATGTGCACTGTCACTGAAGCAACAGAATCAGTGATACGATTTAACACATCAATATTTTCGACTTTAGTCACAAACCCGCGGTCGTTCACTAATCTCCTCAAAAAAAGTCCAGTGCGCTAATGTTGAAGGAACGTGCTGGCCAGAGATGGGTCCTTCGCGCCCGCTCCGGCGATAGGGAAGTCTCGTATTTAGAAATTGGCGAAATTCTGAAGACCATTGTTCTGGAGCTCCATCATGCTGAAAGATGAGGGTTGCAAATCTCTTGAGGATAAATGAACAGCTCTCGCAGTGACCTAGGGTTCGAATCCCGAGAGTGGAATATTTTCGATTCCAGCAAATCTCTTGAAGGTAAATGAATTGTTCTCGCAGTGTCCTAGAGTTCGAATCCCGAGAGTGGAATATTTTCGATTCCAGCAAATCTCTTGAATATAAATGAACTGCTCTCGCAGTGTCGTAGGGTTTGAATCCCAAAAGTGGAATATTTTCGATTCCAGCAACGAGGTCGAATTCAGATAATGGCCATAGGATAATTAGAGCAGGCAGCTGCTCCGATCTGGAGTTTTCTGTGTTTTTTTCATTCAACACCAGGTGAATGTCAAAGAAGTACCTTATCAGTCGGGACGGGCACAGCACGCGATTTTTCCTTTCTCGTTTTTGACCAGTCATCTTGTCTTACACACTAGCACAGCACAAACACACATGCAAGATACAACCCACGTAACACGTAATAAATTATCAATCGATTCTAGTAGACCTACACATACGCGTTAGGCCCAATTGCCTATCAAAAACGACGGCTCCTAAGCAACATTTTTGGGCGCTTGGAAGTTCCAAAGAATTTCCAATAGATCGATAGATTCACTTTGAGCTAATGCTCGGTGGCCAACATGATAACAATTAGAAATAGAATGAAAAAAACATTTTCAATATTTACAATTAGGTTTACTATTATAATTAGGGGGTCGATATCATAGTTCCAATTTATTTCTAGCTAACTCTAAAAGCACTTCTAGTTTACATAACACTTCACTACACTGCACTCCCCTTCACTACACTACACGCCTTCCTCTCCACTACACTACACTTCACGACACTGTATAAGGGACATGACGATAATAATTATAACAATAACAATATAAGAAATAATAACTTAAACATTTTCCCAAAGCTAATGACAGTGTTAACAATGATGATAATTTTGTCAGTAATAATATAATAATAATAAAAGTAATATTAATATTAATAATAAAAGTAATAGTAATATTAATAATAATAAAAGTAATAATAATATTAATGTTAAAGGCTTGTAAAGACCACTTCCAAACTATGTGTGAAACTTTGCATACGAGTCCTATCTTCTCTCTAACAATATTTGAAAGCCTAACAGGCCGGTTCCAAATATTTTACTGCAACTTAGTTTTCTCAGGTAGGTTTCCAATACACAGGTTTTTCACACAGGTTTTCAAAAATCGCCTTAAAGTTCATGGGCTTTGAAAATCCAAAGCTAATGCCAGGACTGCTATGTCAAGGCAAGTTGTTTACTTGAACGTGAGACCTGTGTGTTGGCGTAGCGATAAGGATTATTACAATAATTTTTCTGGTTATTCGTTTTGTAAATTTGGTTTAGCCTAGGGTTTACAACACCTCAACACGTCAACACGTGGGTATTGAAACAACCGTTTTCTCGAGTTTGTAGACAAAACATATTTTTACACTGAAACTAGTACAATATAATTTGTTTCACAACATAACAGTAATACCAAACTAACAAATTATTTTACACATTGTATGTAACATTTCGATTATCACCTGTAGGACATATAAGGACATGTGAGTACACAGTAAAACTATACGAAAAATAAACATTAAAACGCGACACGGGATGGTTTTTGTTACTTAACCCAAAGTTATCGACTTGTTTATATTTTTAAAAAACGGTCCAGCAAACACTTTGTATTAATTTATTTATTAATTTAGGTATTATCCAGTGCCGGTTGTGTCCTGTAGTTAGATTGAAAGGCAAGTCCTAGCCAGAGCAAAATATACCCGTAGAAACGTGAGAACCAAACCAAACGTCGATGTTCGGTCCCGTCCGGTAGGTCCTTCCCTTCCCCAGTTGGGCGTCCGGAGGTGCGGCGGACGCCGGGCAGTGGGCGAGCGACGGGCCGCATGCGACCTCGCAGCGCTATCGGCCGAGCACGTGGGCGCGCCAGGAGGGAGGGGCTCGCGGTCCCCCTCCCCCTCCCC